AGGCCATGGCTGAGGGAGGTGCCAAGAATCTACCACTGCTCCCTGTGGGTGCTGCCACCCTCCTGTCTTGATACTGTCCCAGAGGTCAGTCATGTGACCTGACCCAGTGGCTGCCCTGTGACTAGGTGTGAGCTATGATGCTGGCAAGGAGGCTGAGTCCCTCTACACGTGAGGCTACAGTGCCTTGTGAATGGTGTCTGCTGCCCATCCAGCCCCTCCTAACCTGCTGTCTCTTGTGCCCATGCTTGTGCATTCCCTGGACCCAAACTGGGCAGCAGCTCCCAGGGAAATCACTGTTAGGGAACAGGCTACATGGTTGGGCCCCACTGCAGAGGGGAACAGGTTGTGATCCTCTCTAAACAGGGGTGTACTCTGGGGAATTCCTTCATGGGGTCAGGCAGGGTGTCCCACTGGCCTCCCTCCTTCCTCATCCTGGGGACATGCTCAGTGTAGATCAGAAAGCCGGGTCAAAAGGCTGTCCTGGGGGCACAGCAGACGCTCCAAACAAAAATGCAGGTGCCACACTTACAGGGTAACTGGCTGAGTGGGCAGAAGGCTGGGTGCCATGCTGTGTTTGGAGAAGGCCCAGGCATGTTTTTCTGGCACCACAGGACCAAGCGCTGGCTCTCTAGAGATGGCAGGCCACAGCCTGGGAGAGGTGGAGGGCTGGCTCTACCTCTGGGCAAACCAGGTGGGCTTCAAGGGGTTGAGTAGGAGTTGGCCGCCAACGCTGCTGACTGCTCAGGGGATGTGGATCTCTGAGCACTGAGTTAGGGCCTTCCGGCCATCCTGCCGCCCTGCTCACCCAGGCCCGCAACTACACCCTACCCTCCAATCAGGAGCCCATCATGGCTGGTGCTGGCCAGGGTGCCAGTCCCTCAGCTGTGTGTGACTCAGGAGCAGACATCCCTGCTGTCCGCACCGTGCAGGTGCTATCCGCACCGTGCAGGTACTGTGCACCAGCTATCTCAGCACCCTAGAGAACAGGCTCTTGTCCTTATTCTCCTAACGGGGCAACAGGTGACAATTTAAACAAGGAAGCAGGCACATGCCTCTGATGCCCTAACTTGGGAGGCTGAGGCAGGAGGACTGAGACTTGGGGGCTCTGCTCCCCATTGGGACAGAGTGCTAGGGCTCTGACTTCCTCCTGGTGCCTAACAGTTAGCCTTCATTGCCCCTTCTGACCGGCTGGGGACAGTGTCCTTCTCTTCTCTCATCTTGAGGCAGAACTCAGTCACTTCCAGCCATCCATGGGCCTCCCACTCGATAGAATACAGAACCACTGGGCTGATGTCCCCAGTGCTGAGCCACGGGGTCATTCCACTCCTCGGGGAGCGTGATCCAGCCCCGTGTGCTGCACAGGAATCCAGCGAGAACTTGGCTCTCACACACCAGGGCCACTTGGACCCTTGACTTCCTCACAGCCCTGTGAGGCAGGGGTAGAACTGGGGTTGTTCATGCTGGTGCCCCAGGACCTTGACACAACACTTCAGGACCAAAGCTGAGAGTAAGGAGTCCTGGAGAGGAGGAGACACTTGTCCACGGGAGCCTGCAGGGAGGCTCTGGGATGAAGGCTGCGGCTGTCCCTTTGTCACCTGATCCCGGATCTTTCCTGAAGGCTGGAGAGCTTCTGTGGTGTGGGAGGAGGAGAGCAGGGCGATGGGGGGCTCAGGGTCGCTGGGTCGGGAGGTCAGGTCCAGTTCTGGGGCTTGGCTGAGAGTGAGGGCGGGCTAGCAGGATGGCTCAGCCAGCAAAGGAGCTGGTCTCTGGGACCCTCACCGGGGAAGGAAGAACCGACCGACTCCCGCAAACTGTCCTCTGAGCTCGGCATGCACACTGAAGCACTCCCAGGCCCTCACCAACAGACAAAGAACTATCGTTTTAAAGAGTGAAGGTGCCATGGAGCTGGGGTCTGGGATGGCAGTGCTAACTTGTCGTGTGGGGTGGGGTGACACGTCACCACTGTCACACGACAGGGTCCAACAAGGCACTGTGCTGGCTGGCTTTTGTCAACTTGACCCCAACCTTGGCTTATCTGGGAAGAGGAACCCTCACCTGAGGGACTGCCCCCACCAGATTGGCCTGTGGGACATTTTCTTAATTAGTGATCGATGGGGAGGGCCCAGTTCACTGTGGTGGTGCCATCCCTGGGCTGGTGGCCCTGGGTTCTATAAGAAAGCAGGCTGAGCAAGCCATGGGGAGCAAGCCAGTAAGCAGCTCCCTCCATGGCCTCTGCATCAGCTCCTGCCTCCAGGTTCCTGCCCGACTCCCTGGATGATAGAGCATGACCTGAGGGTCATACAATGAAACAAACCCTCTCCTCCCAGTTTGTTTTTGGTCATGATCTTTATTACAGCAACCGGGACCTGACTACCGCACTGCTATGATAGAGTCCTCAACAGCCGTCAACGGGGACCTGACCACAGCACTGCTATGATAGAGTCCTCAACAGCCGCCAACCAGGACCTGACCACAGCACCGCTATGGTAGGATCTGCAACAGCCGCCAACCGGGACCTGACCATGGCACCGCTATGGTAGGATCTGCAACAGCCGCCAATGGCCACGTGCTACTGGGAGGTGGTGGAGCCTTCAGGGGCAGGGCTGGCCGAGAGGACTTTGGTGGCAGCTGCTTCTTCCTCTCTATTTTGGCACTTATGGTGAGTGTTTGGGCCTCATCTGCCACATACTCCTGCACTGTGTCCTGTCTGTGTGGCCCGGTCCCAGCTGGCTGTGGATCCTCGGATGTTTGTCACACTATCAGATGGACAGCTGGCCACTGTGAGCACGTCCCACAGCAATGCCAGATCATTCCTGCATCTCAGATTCAAAACAGGACGTCACATCTTTCCAATTTAACCTTCTGGCCTGGTGGTAAGGAAGGGCCGAGTTGCACTTTGTAGACAGTCAGGGTACAGTGTGGACCTGCAGGAGTCCTGGGCTGGCTGAGCACAGGCTCAGTCTCCAGTATTGCCTTCCCGGAGGCCGGGCACCTGTGCTGCTCCAGCCCTTGATGGGTGGTCGGATGGGTGGCCGTTCCCAGCAGTTGCTATAGTGGCGGCTAGAGAGGGAGCTGTGACTTCTCCTAGGGGCCTGCTCTCCACTAACCCTGCTCCAGCTGTCTCTGCTCTCTAAACCAACTGTGGAGATGACGGGGCTGAGGTCCCCTCACGGCAGCATGGGGAGACGCATGGCCCCATCGTGGTGGCTAGGTAACACCCAGAGGCCACCAGGGACACGGCCATGCTAGACACGGAGCCCCAGGACCCTCTGTCTCTAGTTGGAAGGATCAAGAGCTAGCCTGAAGCTGTGATGTCCTAACCCTCCAGAAAGCCTTACCAAGAGCCACAGTGGCCACAGACAGCCCTGGGGACAACGGGGCAGGCCACCAGCAGCTCTCTCCTCTCCCTCTCAGGCTCTGTCATCGGGCAAGACAATAAGCTGTGTGCTCTCTCTCTGGCAGTTTCTGTAAAGATCTGACCTCTGTTTCCCTTGCTCCTACGTCACCAAAGCCCCGAAGGCCAGGAGAGTATTCACCTTGGTAAACACTAGGGGGAGCAGCCTGGAGTCCATCTGTTGACACACAGGTTAGAAAGCAAGCAAGCTCCCTGCAGCCCTCAGTGAGCACCGTGTGGTCCCCCCGCAGACGTTCTGAATGTCCCACAGACACAACTTGGAGGCTCCGTCCCTGCAGCTGCCTCTCCCCGGCTCTGCAGGCTGAGGTGGTCCATTTGCCTTTAGCCCCAGCCTGGGGTCAATCCCAGGCTTCCCCTCACAGTGTGACCTGGGTGGTGTGTGGCCCTTCCCTCCAACACACCAGAGGCTCCTCCCTTGGGCTCTGTCCCCAGGACACTGTCTAGCAGAGGAGGGTGCTGTTAATCCTGGAGGGGTTGGGCCCTGGTAGAAGGAAATGTCCCTGTCATTACCTCCTGTCACAGGCTGCCTGGGACAGCACCAACCTTGCAAGCCCTCAAAGTTTCTAGACTTTTCTCTAGATCAGTGTCTGCTCCTTTCCCCAGAGAGTCAGCCTCCCACAACAGTCCACTGCGAACCTGGGCCAGCAAGAAGGTATTGTGTGTGTGGGTTGTGTGTGTGTGTGTGTGTGTGTGTGTGTGTGTGTGTGTGTGTGTGTATAGGGGTGTCACAAGATCAAGCTGGAGAAAAAGCAGATGTTAGAAGCCTCAGAGAAATCTACTTTTGAGGGCCATGTCAGTGGCCATAGCCCAGTCTGGCTTCAGTAGTGGGTCTTAGTTTTTGAAAGCCCAACCCAGTTCGGTGTGGTGGTACACTCCTGTTGTCCCAGCTCTCAGGAGTCTGGGACAGGAGGACTTCACGTTCAAAGCCAGCCTCAGATACATAGTGAATCCCAGGCCAGCCTGGGCTACATGAATGTCTGTCTCAATAAACAAACAAGAATAAGTAAATCAAATCTCCAACAGTCAGGCCAGTGATCCCAGAATGTGGGTGGCTGGGGCAGGAGGACGTGGAGTTTGGACCAGCCTGGGCTACATAGCAAGGCCCTGCTTCCTAGTAAATAAACAAGACAGAGAGGGGCCCATATGCTGGACAAGAGGCATTTGGGGGTGTTGGAGAGGGCAGAGCATTCCTTCTCAGCTCTACAGTCATATAGGAAGTCCTACCCTCCTCCAGGCCCAGCTGGCCATGCTGAGTCTGGCCCAGGGCGCTCACCTCCCAGAGAGGCCTCCATCACAGAGCAAAGTCAAGAGTGTCTGCACCTGCCACCTGCTCACATTGCCAAATTACACAACTGAGTGCCTTCATGGCAACCCAGTCCCAACCCATCTGCCCCTTTAAAAAGTTGTATTTTTGCTTCATTTTAAAATTTTCATTATTACTGTTTTTAGATTTATCTTATTTCACGTGTCCAGGTGTTTGCCTGCATGTAAGTCTGTGTACCCTGTGCATGCAGTACCCACAGAGGCCGGAAGAGGGCGAGAGATGCCCTGGAACTGGATGGCTGTGAGCTGCCACACAGGTGCTGGGAACTGAACGAGTCCTCTGCTAGCCTTAAATTTGCTGTGCTGTGGAGGTGACCTTGACCCCTGCTCCTTGCCTCAGTCTCTTGCATGCTGGTGACAGGGTGAGGTGTGAGCCACCACACCTGTTTTGTGATGTTAGGAATGGATCCCAGGGCCTCACGCTTGGCCCCTGAGCCCACCCTAGCCCATCTTTTCTGTTTTGAGACAGGGTCTTGCTATGCAGCACAAGATGCCCACAGAGCCGCCACCCTCCTGTCTGGTTGATAGGCGTGACCATGCCAGTCCAGTGTTCTCGCTTCTCGGAGAGCTGATTCTTTATAAGATCTCACCAGTCTACACACTCCACCCCAGCGACACACTTGGGACGCGGGGGTCATCCTCAGACATCCTAACACCCAGGCGGGCCCTGCCTTGGCCGCTTGGGACTGCTGGCTCCTGTTTCCCTCTCCCATTAACTTCTTCAAGGCAGCGTTCTGCTACATCCCTGGGCCTTTCTAACACCTGTGAGCACTCCAGACAGAGCAGGGTGTCCGGGGCCCCAGCGCACTTACATGGCTGTTGAGCAGGCCGCCTTTGTGGGGGGCGAGGCCTTCGCTTTTTTGGAGAGTCTCAATCGCCATTTCAAGCTATGAAGATGTGTACAGAGACAGAGCAAAACCAGAGGGGGTGGGGTGGGGGGAGAGAAGGAAATCAGATGGTTAGTGGCAGGCAGCTCACACTGGTCCCAGCCTTGCATTAACATCCAAATAGCAATGCCAGATAGCAGCGGCGGCAGGGGGTTAACAGTGAGTGAAGCTGCGGCAGGTTCAAGGGCCTGAGCCATGCACCTGAGCCCAGAGCCCAAGACAGCAGCAGAGAGAAAAGTCGCTGGTGGCTGACATCACATCCCAACACAGGACACAAGGCACCAGGAACTAAGCTCGGGCATGTGCAGGCTGAGCATGTCAACAGCAAGAGTCCTCCTCCATCTCGTTATTCACTTGAGCTGGAATGTATGTGTGTGGGTGTTTTGTCTGCATGTCTGTCTGTCAGTGCGGTGAGTGCATACCTAGGACCTGCAGAGGCCAGAAGAGGGTGTCAGATCCCCTGCAACTGGAATTACAGATGCTGTGAGCCACTATGAGAGTTCTGGGACCTGAGTCATGGGGTGCAGGCCACAGTGCACACCTCTGCCTGATGAGGAACCGGGAGTTAGAGGACAGAGCAGGGGAGGGGACGGACACAGAGCCTGGGAAGTGAGTGGGGACAGGGTGGGCTTCCAGGGGAGCAGTGACTGGGTAGAAGACCCGGGTGGAGTGGAGGAGAGAAGACCTGCAGTTATGGTGCCCAGCTGTGGCAGTGGCCAGTTGAGTGTGACCTGGCCCAGCAGCAGGAGCTAACATCAGCCAGGACAGCAGAGGCTTCCACTGGGTTTTGGGTAAGGGCCAGTGGAGTGTCTCACTCACCAGGCTCCCTGGAACCATGTTCAGGATAGAGAGCCCAGGGTGGGCGAGAAGGCTCAGGAGGTAAAGGTGCTTGCCGCCAAGCCTGGTGACCTGAGTTCAATCCCTAGGACCTCCATGGAAGGAGAGAGTCCACTCCCACAAACTGTCCTCTGACCTCTACAAGTGTGTGTGCACACACACAATAAAGACAGTGTGATAAGAAAAAGCAAAAGACCATGGCTTCTGAGGCCCTCGGAGCAATGGTGCCTCTGTGATCTCCCTACAGCGACACCAGGATGAGCTGGGACACAGGCTGGCTCACACGGCATGGAGGGCACCACGGGGCACAGGCTGGCTCACATGGCACGGAGGGCACCACGGGGCACAGGCTATCTCACACAGCACGGAGGGCACCACGGGGCACAGGCTGTCTCACACGGCACGGAGGGCACCACGGGGCACAGGCTATCTCACACAGCACGGAGGGCACCACGGGGCACAGGTGGGCAAGAAGACAGAAGCATGCCAGCAGCAGAGGGCCTGGCAGGCAGCAGGGGTGGCGGGCAGCAGGGGTGGCGGGCAGCAAGGGTGGTGGGCTGGCTGTGTGAGTATCAGCTGAATAGAACAGCAGGCAGCTCCTTCCCACTCCTGGAACCTTCCATGAGGGGCCTAGACAGCCCCGGCTTGGTGGAAGAGGAGCCCTTACTCAGGGGGTTGACAGTGAGGGACAAGTCTGTCACACTATTAAAAACTGCTGAGGCCCCAATGAAAGAGAGCCGGGGGACTGTGGTGGCTCAGCCACCCGTGCAAGTGGAGGTCAGAGGTGGGTGTAGCTAGGACTCTTTCCTGGTCACTTTCTGTCTTCTGTTTTGAGACAGGGTGAACCTGCAGCTTGCTGACTCTGCTGGGCTTGCCATCAAGTCCCCGGGATCCTCCGTCCCCCGCAGGGATGACAAGTGTGCACCTCCACACCGTGCTCTCATAGGACCTGGGGGTCGAACTCAGGTCCCCACGCTTCCTCAGTAGGCACCTTACCCACTGAGCTACTCCCCAGGCCCCATGTCTGTCTGTCTGTCTATCCGCCTTTATTTTTAAATTTGAGACACGGCCTCACTATGCAGCCCCAGCTGGCCTGGAACTCACAGAGATCCTCTTGTCTCTGCCTCCTGAGTTCGGAGATTAAAAGTGTGGGCCACCACACCTGGCCCAAATTTTGTTTTTAAGGATTATATTTATCATGCCAGATATGTGTGTGTGTGTGTGTGTGTGTGTGTGTGTGTGTGTAGGGCGCCACTCATCAACCCAGTGCTTGGGAGGATGAGGCAGGAAGATGGTGAGTAGGAGGCCAGCCTGGGGTAACGGTGAGATGTGTCTCCCCCTAAACAAAACCCAAACCCCTCAAACAACAAAAAGGAACTATACCTATCAACATTTCCCACAGAATTTAGAGTGGAACAATTAAATCTATGTATTCTCTCTTTTAAAAATAACTGGCCCATTACAGTTCAGTATTAATAGTATTTAAAATAAAGAAAAGCTATCTTCTCTGGTTATCAGAAAACTACAGGACTTCAACATTTACATCTCTGCAGATCTCCTCCATCTCAGGTTCTAGGGGTGGCGAGGTCCCTGCTCTGCATCCCGCCTGCCCTCCCAGTTTAGAGGGACCGTGTCAAAAGAAACCTGTCCTCACAGAAGTAAACAGCTGGGCAAGGAGGCTCTTTCTTGTCCCACCTCACTGTGAATCGCTCTACTTGACACCACACCCAGACTCAGGACAGGCAGGTCTTTAAAATGTATCTGTAACCTGGAATCTTGATGCCACATCTGTGAGCTCCCCACATGCAGTCAACATTTAAAATACACTCAGCAAGGCAAAAGGCAAGGGCAAAGTCAGGAACCTCCACCCTCCCAAGAAAGTGGCGATACCTGGGCAGAACTCGAGAGAAACATCAAAACTCCCTGCAAGCAGCAGAGAGTGTGCAGCAACTGGTTGGACCCCTCATCAAACAACAACGCTATTAGCAGCAAGAAAACCCCAAACATCTGACATGGTACCTGGGGGCCGGTCCGTCAACACCAGCTGGCTCGTGGCTAGCCCACAGAATGCAGTGTTCACCATGACAAAGAATACAGACTTCACAGTGGCCCAGAAAGGTCATCAACCAATAATAACTGCCACAACAGCAGACCCTGGGAGGACAGAGGGATGGGGCAGCTAGAGCTTCCCAGAGTGATGCTGAAGATACCCTTTGCTACAGAAAACTATGAGGCATCCAAATAAGGAAGAGTGAGTCTGCACACAGAGTCAACAAGGCTATAAGACGACAATATGTGGAGCTGGTGTGAATGTTTGCGCGTGCGCGTGTGGAGGATGAGGTCCACAGCAGGAATTACGTCTTACATTGCTCTTCCACTGTATTCAATGAGGTAGGCTCTCTCAATCAAACCCAGAGCTCACAGATATGGCTCATCCCTAGAGAGCTTGCTCCAGGGACCCAGGAATTCGGTGCCCCTCCCCAGCACTCACATGCAGTTTGGGATCCGAACTCAGGTCCTCGTGCTTGCACATTTAAGCACAGAGCCATCTCCCAATTATTTTTTAAATAATTTAAAAAAGAAAGCACAGACACAGGAAATGTTTGCAAATTATGTATCTAATGGGAATTTGTTTCTGGGACGTAAAGAATTCTCCACATTCAGGAGCAGGAAGACACCAGCCTGGCTGAGCCGTAAGCGGACTGCTCAAGTAACGCTCAACCACAGGGCAAGCGCTGGCTGTCTACTGTTCCCAGCTAGAAAACACAAATTACCACCAGACATGCTCCACTACCAGGATGGAGGGAAAAAATGTCGACAACTCCAAGTGCTGGCAAGGAAGCAGCTCTTACCCCTGACAGGGCAGCTCAATGGACCGCTGGGAGATGGGAAACAGACGGCACAGTAACCCCACTGGAGGCGTTTACCACCCCAGCCCCCCCAGAGACAGCACCCTGACTGCACAGCCCGAGTTCTTCACGGTGTTCCCAGCCAAGGCCTCTGCTGGGGACACAAAGAACTGTGGACTCACATCAAGGGGTCTTGACGGCCACATGCTGAGGGCAGGAAACCAGCCCCGGGGCAGCCTCAAGACTCAGGGTCAAACCACCACAACAGTGAACAGATCCACGGCTGCCAGCATTGCAGGTGAGGTTTTTGGGGGGAGGGGGGCTGGGGGGTATGTGCCATGAGAATTCAGGAACCTACACACACATCAAGTCCTGCAGGGTTCTGCATTAAAGAGTGGGTGTGACTGTGTGGCAATTAAAAAAAATGATAAAATATCAATAAATATCAAAAACACATAGCTAGACACATGGGAGGCTGAGGCAGAGGACTGTGGGTTTGAGGTCAGCCTACACTACAGGGCAAGTTTCGGACCAGCCTGGGCTACACAGCAAGACCCTGTCTTAATTCTCCTTTTCCCCCAAACCCCCAAGTCCAAATCAGAGCTTTATGCTGTGTCCCTGCACCGACAGGCGCAGCGCCTCCAGCAGGGCCTGTGCTCCCCAACACCCTCAGGGCCTTGTCTTTCCCTAGTGGGGAAGTGGGGCGAAGGGACCAGCACACTGCCTGCTGTCTCTGTCCCTCGCGTCTAAGCGTCCGCAGGACCCCGACCTGGTCCTTCCTACCTGAGTGGTGGATGCCGAGGCAGCAGGACTACCCGCTGGCTGCAGGGCCTTGGTACATACCGTGGCAGGCGAGGAGCGCGCGGTGTGGGCCAGGGAGTGTCTCGCGCTGTCCATGCCCCCATGGATGAGGTAGGCTCCCGCGCCAGACACGATGGGGGTCCCTGCGACATCCATGGTGATGCCCACCATGCCGTGGGAAGGGACTGCCGGTGGGGAGGAGGCCGCCACTGTCACCTGAGCGCCACTCGGAGTCTCAAAGTAAGACGCTGCACTGCTGGGGGCATAGAGCTGAGGGTCTGGGTTGTAGGCATAGGCCGCTCGGCTGTGGGAGAGAGCGCCATCATTTTATAAGAAATACGTGCTAATAAGAGAGCGAAAGGAAGAAAGAAGACGCGGGGCTAGAGGGCTCCTGCCGCTGCCGCTGCGGAGGACCCAGGTTCGTCCCAACACCCACTTGGCAGCCCACAGCCTCTCACAGCCACTTGCCCTCCAGCTCCAGGGGCCCTAATGCTCCCTGCTGGTCCGATGGGCACTGCACTCACATGCACTCATAGGCACATCCACAGGCACACACACTGCATACATCCTCACCACACACAAATGCACACACGCAAAAGAGGGATAGAAGAAAGAAAATTCTAGAAAGTTCCAGGACATCTTAAAAATTGGAAAATAAGCTTTGTAAATGGCCCAGAGGGAAAGTTCACAGGCCACTGCTCTCTAGGGGACTGTGGCTTTGGTTTGATATTTTTATCGAGTTTTCTAGAAGCCAAGAGCACCAAGGCCCATGGTTCTGAACTCGGACCCCAGGACAGGGAGGGACATGACAGTGTGGACGTGCTCAAACACTTCCACGAAAGTCCCACAGAGAGCAGGGGAGTCCAGAGTCTGTGGGGACCAGGCCCACGGGGACACGTACATGGCTCCGTTGGCGTAGACTGCGTCCCCACCCTCCACGTACTGCACCTGCGCGGGGTACACATGCTGCACCTGTAACACACAAGTGGTGCCCGTCACACAGGGCCTTGCTGGGGGGTGATGCAGCTCGAGTCCATGGACATGGAGCTTAGTGGCTTATGTAGGTACCTAAGTATCCATTTGTTTATCTCTGAGGCAGCCTCATATAGCCCAGGCTGGCCCTGAACTATGTAGCCGAGGATGACCGTGAACTCCTGACCCTCCACCTCCTAAGTGCGGTGCTGTGCCTGGTTTAGGTGACAGCTAAGTAGCTTCTGCTCCATGTGGGTGGGACCAGGGACCAGGCTGCCATGGGGGAAAGCTACCTGTTTCAGTTATGACGGAGGGTGTGTGGTCCCCTGGAGGGGTGGGAGAGATGGGGGCCAGGCTGGAAACAAAGGCAAACCTGCTCCAGCACCTGTGATACCACCCACACCCACACCCTGCCTCCCCTATGCCCAAACTCCCCCCATCCTACCTCCCCGCCATGACCACCCCCACCCACATCCCACCTCCACCCTACCACCCCACTCCTGCCCACATCCCACCTCCCACCTCCCCCCATTGCCCCACCCCCACCCACATCCCACCTCCACCCCACCACCCCACTCCTGCCCACATCCCACCTCCCACCTCCCCCCATTGCCCCACCCCCACCCACATCCCATCTCTCCTCACGACCAACAAACCCCCACATCCCACCTCCACCCTCACCCCACCCACCTCCCACCTCCCGTCCATGGCCTCCACCCCCACCCCCACCCCCACGTGGCGGGCAGCTCAGCCCCCAGCAGATGCATATACTGGATGTCCAGTGTTGTGGCCCAAACTTCAGCCTCTCCTCAGCCAGTCTGTGGGACGGCTTTCTGGGGTCCCAGACTACAGTGGCCCACCCACAACTTGAGTGCTCTGAGATCTGTGTGGAGTCCCCAGGGAGAGGAAGCCTGGACCCAGTAGGAGACAGCTCAGGGGGAGGCATGTGCCAGATGAAGTGTGGCCCTAATTAGTCTTAACAACAGAAACCCGGAGTCAGATATTGGGGTGAAAGCTGAAAGATCAGAGAAGCAGCCACCAGAGACGTCTTCCCTCTCCTAAATCCCAGACTGAGCGGGCTGGGTTCTGTTTCTGTGGATCCTCAGACTGAAGGGTGGAGGTCCTGTCTCCACCCCCTAGTGCTGGGATTAAAGGTGTGCGACGACACCGCCGCTGTTTCTCTCTTAGACTGGTTCAACCCCTTAGAGCCCCGGTGCTTTCTGGGGACACGGGAAACCGTCCCTGGTCTTCCAACAGTCACAGTCACCCAGGCATCTCTCTCAGGAGCAAAGGCAACTTAGCCCTAGGACTCCCCCTCTTTGGTTTCTTCAGACAGGGTTCCTCTGTGTAGCCCTGGCTGTCCTGGATCTCACTCTGTAGCCCAGGCTGGCCTCAAACTCACAGAGATCCGCCTGCCTCTGCCTCCCGAGAGCTGGGATTAAAGGTGTGCACCACGACTGCCTGGCGTGCCCTGTGCCTTTTTGTAAATAAAGTTTTATTGGTACTCTGTCCCTTCCTCACACATCACTCTGGCTGTTACAGAGAAACTGCTTCCCTTCACTTGTTGCATGTGTCTCGGTAAGTGAATTTTTTCTTTCAACAGAGCTTCCAGAACGCTCTGGTGACTGTAGATACTAGTGACGACAGGAAACAGCTCGTAGGCCAGAGGCTGCTCACAACTACTAGGTGCTCAAGGGGTGTCCTTACCTGTGGTGGCACCGGTTGGACTCTGGGGAGGGTGAGTGGCTGCATCGGTGCCCCCTTGGGAGTCGAGCCTGCGGCTTGAACCAGTACCCTCTGCAACAGACAATGGGACAATCAGACCCACTGGATCAGCACTGGGGAAGACCCACTGAGAACCACATGGCTTGGCTGTCCCACTCCGACTGCAGTAGCACACAGGGACCCTCGGGGATGCAGACACAGGGCCACGGGGATGCAGGCACAGGGACCCACGGGGATGCAGGCACAGGGACCCTCGGGGATGCAGACACAGGGACCCACGGGGATGCAGGCACAGGGACCCACGGGGATGCAGACACAGGGACCCTCGGGGATGCAGACACAGGGACCCACGGGGATGCAGACACAGGGACCCTCGGGGATGCAGACACAGGGACCCTCGGGGATGCAGGCACAGGGACCCTTGGGGATGCAGGCACAGGGACCCTCGGGGATGCAGACACAGGGACCCACGGGGATGCAGACACAGGGACCCACGGGGATGCAGACACAGGGACCCACGGGGATGCAGACACAGGGACCCTCGGGGATACAGATACAGGGACCCTCGGGGATGCAGACACAGGGACCCTTGGGGATGCAGGCACAGGGACCCTCGGGGATGCAGACACAGGGACCCTCAGGGATGCTGGCACAGGGACCCTCGGGGATGCAGACACAGGGACCCTTGGGGATACAGATACAGGGACCCTCGGGGATGCAGACACAGGGACCCTCAGGGATGCAGACACAGGGACCCTTGGGGATACAGATACAGGGACCCTCGGGGATGCAGACACAGGGACCCTCGGGGATGCAGACACAGGGACCCACGGGGATGCAGACACAGGGACCCACGGGGATGCAGACACAGGGACCCTTGGGGATACAGATACAGGGACCCTCGGGGATGCAGACACAGGGACCCTCGGGGATGCAGACACAGGGACCCACGAGGATGCAGACACAGGGACCCACGGGGATGCAGACACAGGGACCCTCGGGGATACAGATACAGGGACCCTCGGGGATGCAGACACAGGGACCCTCGGGGATGCAGACACAGGGACCCACGGGGATGCAGACACAGGGACCCACGGGGATGCAGACACAGGGACCCTCGGGGATGCAGGCACAGGGACCCTCGGGGATGCAGGCACAGGGACCCTCGGGGATGCAGACACAGGGACCCACGGGGATGCAGACACAGGGCCATGGGGATGCAGGCACAGGGCCATGGGGATGCAGGCACAGGGACCCTCGGGGATGCAGACACAGGGACCCTCGGGGATGCAGACACAGGGACCCTCGGGGATGCAGATACAGGGACCCTCGGGGATGCAGACACAGGGACCCTCGGGGATGCAGATACAGGGACCCTCGGGGATGCAGGCACAGGGACCCTCGGGGATGCAGACACAGGGACCCTCGGGGATGCAGACACAGGGACCCACGGGGATGCAGGCACAGGGACCCTCGGGGATGCAGACACAGGGACCCTCGGGGATGCAGACACAGGGACCCACGGGGATGCAGGCACAGGGACCCTCGGGGATGCAGACACAGGGACCCTCGGGGATGCAGGCACAGGGACCCTCGGGGATGCAGTTACAGGGACCCACGGGGATGCAGGCACAGGGACCCTCGGGGATAAACACAGGGACCCACGGGGATGCAGACACAGGGACCCTCGGGGATGCAGATACAGGGACCCACGGGGATGCAGACACAGGGACCCTCGGGGATGCAGATACAGGGACCCACGGGGATGCAGACACAGGGACCCACGGGGATGCAGACACAGGGACCCTCGGGGATGCAGGCACAGTGTCCCTCGGGGATGCAGATACAGGGACCCTCGGGGATGCAGACACAGGGACCCTCAGGGATGCAGACACAGGGACCCTCGGGGATGCAGACACAGGGCCATGGGGATGCAGGCACAGGGACCCTCGGGGATGCTGGCACAGGGACCCACGGGGATGCAGACACAGGGACCCACGGGGATGCAGACACAGGGACCCTCGGGGATGCAGGCACAGGGACCCACGGGGATGCAGATACAGGGACCCACGGGGATGCAGACACAGGGACCCTCGGGGATGCACACAGGGACCCTCGGGGATGCAGACACAGGGACCCTCGGGGATGCAGGCACAGGGACCCTCGGGGATGCAGTTACAGGGACCCACGGGGATGCAGGCACAGGGACCCTCGGGGATGCAGATACAGGGACCCACGGGGATGCAGACACAGGGACCCACAGGGATGCAGACACAGGGACCCTCGGGGATGCAGGCACAGTGTCCCTCGGGGATGCAGATACAGGGACCCTCGGGGATGCAGACACAGGGACCCTCGGGGATGCAGACACAGGGACCCTCGGGGATGCAGACACAGGGCCATGGGGATGCAGGCACAGGGACCCTCGGGGATGTTGGCACAGGGACCCACGGGGATGCAGACACAGGGACCCACGGGGATGCAGACACAGGGACCCTCGGGGATGCAGACACAGGGACCCACGGGGATGCAGATACAGGGACCCACGGGGATGCAGACACAGGGACCCTCGGGGATGCAGACACAGGGACCCTCGGGGATGCAGACACAGGGACCCTCGGGGATGCAGACACAGGGACCCACGGGGATGCAGACACAGGGCCATGGGGATGCAGGCACAGGGACCCACGGGGATGCAGGCACAGTCAGGTGCAAAGCCACATACACACGGGCATTCATGAGAACACTCCATTGGGAATATGAAGTTCAGGCCCAGGAGCTAGGGTCAGGAGGTGGGTCATCTCCTGCAGGGGTCCCTGTCCCTACTCTGTCCCTTACTGGCCAGAGCAGTATCTTGGCTGTTTTGGATGTAGGAAGCAGACCAGATGTGGGGCAGAGGTTGCAGCGGGGAGGGGAACACAAGGGGCTGTGATTCCCCCACTTTTTAAGTGCTGCTGAGAGACTGAGAAAGGGCACGTTGCCCTCTAGTGTTCAAGGATGTCACTGCAAGCCAAGCCAGATCCTGCCATGACTGGCTGGGCCAGTGGGTAAGGGACCAACCATTGTGAGCTACAGCCAGACAAACACCACTGGGGCGCAGGCCACTGCAGGGACCCCAACACATGACTATAGACACGCTGTGACGTCTGTCCTCACACTTGAGAAAGCGGGGCTCTGATACCCGCCACAGCATGGAGGGACCTTGAGGACAGATGTGGGCTCCAGGACAGGAGAACCCAGAGACAGGAAGTCGGTCAGGACAGGGAAGGGATGCACAGCCGCCGAGGGGGGTAGACTGGGGGGGAAAGCGATGGAATGTTCTGGAACTAGAGAGACAGGATGGCTGAATTCCGTGACTACAATAAAAACCAGGATGCTTTCACATGGCTCATTTTATATTGTGCCAATTCCACCTCAATTAAAGGATGAGGGGGCGGTGCTGGAGAGATGCTCAGCAGTTAAGAGCACTGGCCGCTCTTCCTGAGGACCTGAGTTCGATTTTCAACACCCACATGGTGCACAGCCATCTATAACGGGATCTGATGCCCTCTCTGGCATTCAAACGTGCGTGCAGATAGGGCGCTCATATACATACATAAATAAACAAATAAATCTAAAAAAAAAAAAGAGTGATTAGGAAGCGCTGTAAAAATGGCCCTGGGTAAGAGCCCTTACTGTACAAGCTGAGGACATGAGTTCGAATCCTAGAACCCACACAAAAAGCCAGTGTGGCTTCCAGTCCCCGTGACCTCAGCACCCAGGAGGCAGAGACAACAGGTCACGGGGGCTCTGGCTGGCAGCCTCGCCCACTCCATGAGAGATCATGTTTCGGCAGAATAAGTTAGAGAGGGAAAGAGGCCTCACACCCTCTCCCTGGCAACCACACACTACACCCAGGTGTGTGCCCACATACAGCATAACCCCTCACCATGGTGGCACACACCTGTGATTCCAGCACTCAGGAAGCCAAGGCAGGGGAATTAGCTGCGAATCTGAAACCAGTCTGTGTACAGAGTGAGAACTCGTTCAAAATAAATAGATAGATATAGATAGATAAGTGTGGCGGGGCTGTAGCTTGACTAACATGAACGGCACCCTGGCTACCATTTCCAGCACCATATAAATGAGGCTCAGGCTCCATCAGATCCTGTCTCCAAACCCCCCAAAACTACAAATATTAGGGTTAGGTTGGATGTGATGAATATCAGCAACCCTAGCCTTCAGGGGAGGAGAAGGTAAGGCTGAGGCAGGAGGAGGGAGTGGAGGAGATGGAGGAGGAGGGGATGGAGGAGGAGGAGGAGATGAAGGACAAGGGAACGGAGGAGGAGGGGATGGAGGAGGAGGAAATGGAGGAGGAGGGGATGGAGGAGGAGGAGATGGAGGAGGAGAAGGAGGAGGAGGGGATGGAGGAGAAGGAGGAGAAGGAGATGGCGGAGGAGGGGATGGAGTTGGAGGAGGAGAAAGGTGGAGGAAGGTAGAAAGGAGGAGAGGAGGTGCCATCCTAAGAATCCTGTGCACATCTGTGGTTTTCAGGGTTCCTTTGGTGGCACCTTTCAAACACCAGGGAGAGCGCGGGAACGGCGCAGCGGGCACAGTCACCTGTGGGGAGGCTGGCACGGGCTGGGCTGCAGGTCGCAGAGTCACTGATGCTGGCGAATCTGCTCCGCCCTCGGAGTTCTGCATGCTCGGACCTAGAGTGGAAGAGAGCCGTGGTGAGGAGGCGACCACACACCCTGGATTCCCGGGAACCAAACTCTGCAGGCGCTTCTAAACCAGAGTTGAAGCTGAGGGACCCTGGCCACTGAGGCGGGAGACAGCTCCATGGATAGAGCTCCTGCCGCACAAACAGTGAGGACCTGAGTTCAAGTCCTCGGAGTCCATGTACTAAACAGGCCTGGGGTTTGCGCCTTTCCCCGGGCCATCTATGCTGCCCTACAGCCTTTCTTGTTCCTGTGGCCTCCGGTCAACCCCCAGCCTCCCGCCAAACTCTATCGCAGGGTCTCCCCAGGCAAGCCTCGGTCCGCATTTGCTGCCCCCTCCACCGAGTTCTGCGGTGCTGGCGCCTCCACCTTGCCTGCTTAAAGTCGTTTATTTATTTTTTATTTTAAAAAGTTTTATTTATTTCACGCGTGCGGGCGTTTGCCTACACGTGTGCGCGCACCACGCCGAATTGGGTGTGAACGGAACCAGGTCCTCTTGGAGAGCAGACGGTGCTCGTAACCGCTGAGCCGTCTCTCAGGCCCTAATGCCTTTTTTGTTTGTTTGCTGTTTAAAGACACAACAGGTTAAAAGAGTGTGCCCCCAAGACGCCAGGGATGAGCCCGCCGGGTTCCCGCCCGCCTGCGCTGCCCAGGGCGAGCACTAGATGGCGCCAGAGCCACGCAGCGCAGGGCGCACAGCGGCGTTGGACCGAGGTGGAGGCCGGAGCGTGAGGCGGTCAAGATAAAGCGTCTGAAGCCAGCCTGGGCTGTATCAGACTCTTGGCTACGAAAGCAAAGCAGAAATATTTTGTAAGAAAAATCTCTTGTATATACATACACAGGAATGAGTAAGGAGCGATGAATGAATCCAGCGTTTGAAGCCGAGGGCTCAGTCAGCAAAGTGTTTCCCTGAAGGTACGAGGACCCGAGTTCGCACCCCAGAACCCTCTACAAAGCTACGCACACGCTTGGTGACCCAGCGATGGTGGGATGAAATGCAAAGATGGGCTGGGGGTAGGGGCTGTTCCTGGAGTTCACAAGCCAGCCTGGGCTACAAAGTGACTTCCAGGCCCGCCTGGGCTACCGAGTGAGACTCTGTGTCAAACAAATAAAACTTGTCACCAAAGTCTCACAAGAATGTCTGAAGTGACTAACACCCAGTTGCTTCCATGTCTGAATAACAGACACCTCAGCGGCTCTCCAAACAGGCCTACTGAAATCCGCTCTCCCTCCAGCTCCTGTCCCGGTGTTCATCTGAGAGGCTCAGGGGCAAGTCTGAGCACAGGCCCACTCAGGCGGCTGTCTTACCCTGGCCAAGAACAAAAACTCCAGTGTTCTTCCTCAGAAAATGAATGAGAACTGCAGACTGTGAGAACATTAGTTCTGAGCAAGGGTCTCATGTAGCCTAAGCTGGCCCCAAACCCTATGTAGGCTGGGCATGGTGGCCCACGCCTTTAATCCCAGCACTCAGGAGACAGAGGCAGGCGGATCTCTGAGAGTTCGAGGCCAGCCTGGTCTACAGAGTGAGTTCCAGGACACAGGGCTACACAGAGAAACTCAGTCTTGGAAAAACCAAGTCCCGATGTAGCTGAGGTTGACCAACTTCTGATCCTCCTGCCTCCACCTCCTGAGTGCTGGGGTGACAGGTGTGGGCCACAGCACCTGCTTTCTGTGGAGCCGGGACAGAAGCGGGACCTCACACTGCGAGTACTCCACCCACTGAGCCCAGCCCTGTGGATGTGAATATTAAGAAACAAGGTATAAACACGGACCATGCGTGGTGGCCACACCTTTGGTCCCAACATGAGGAAGGGCCAGGGGGGCGGGTCCCTGAGTTCCAGGGCGGCAGGGGGTTGTGAGTCCCTGTCTCAGGGGACTCACGCGGGGCGGGGGATGGTAAATGGCCAGTGGGTTGGTCGTCTGTTTGCTATAGGGTTGCATGAGGCTTCCGAGAGGAAAGTTCTGTGGGCCCAGCACACAGCCGCCAGCCCTGAGGGCTCAGGCCGGGTCTTGCTCCATCCCTGCACTCAGGGGATCCACACTGTATGCACTACCCTACTCACTCAGTAGCTGCCCAGGTTGTGGGGTTGGCTGTCAAGCACCCCAGAACTGAAGTTCAAGTGACCCCGCCTCTCCTCCTGCCTGAAGCCCAGGCCGAGTGACGCCGGTGCTGAGGACAGGCCAGGGAGCATCTGATTCGAGTGAAAATGTTAAAGGTTCCCATTTAGTAAGGGAAGGACGCAGATGCATACCAAGGTTGATAAACTGCGAGTTAGGTGTGTTCGCATGTGTGTGCCTCTGCGCGTGAGCCCACGTGAGAGCACGAAAGTGTATGTTCACGAGTGTGCTGCATGGGTGCATGCGTGTGTGTGTGTGTGCGCGCGCGCGCGCGCGCGCCTGTGTGAGGGTTTGAGGGACCTCAGTAGCAATGGCACAAGCTGAGTTCTTCCTCACGGGCCCTCAGCTTCTCTGCTGGTTCCTGTTCTTCCTCCTGAGGGGACCTGGCTTTCTCTGCCTGTCTTTACACCAATTCCTCTCCAGTCAGGTCTCCAGTGAGGAGCCTGAGAGCAACCAACAGCCAGAAGGGCTGAGCACCCTGTCATCCTGCCTCCCTGAGCCTGATCATGGTTCCCTGGTGGCCCAGCTCTGCCACACATGGGTCAATGGTCCAAAGAAGAAGGCTGACGTGCCCCAAGCCAGTCTCGAATCCACCCCGTGCATTGACCTTGAACTTGACAGAGTGCCCAAGTCCAGCGGCTGGACTGCAGACTGCAGTGCCCAGTAGTCGCCTGCTGTCTCCAGGCGACTCCAAGGGGCAGTCGCAGGCTGCAGTGAGCTGGCTGGGGCTGGACTGGCGCCAGGTGGATCTGCTGGGGAAGCGCCCTTTGTTTATAGGAAAACTCTTTGATTGCCTAGCAACCAGTGGGCAGGCAAGGAAGGGCGGGAGGCTGCAAGCCATTTCTGGGCTGGGTTCCTGGTTGCCCTGACTCACTGTGACCTTAAGCAATCTCTCTCTCTCTCTCTTTCTTCTATCCCCACCCCTCCTCTGTCCACCCGTCCAGGGAAGCTGTGGCCCCATCACATCTTGTCACCTGGAATCATGAGGATGGAGCTTGGCTGGTTAAGTTCTGCCTTGAGGGAATCAGTCCTCCGTTGGTCTTAGTATTGTCTTGGTGGCATCTGGATGGATGGCACCTGAGGCCATACCTACCAAGAATGTAACTTGCATCCCTGCTCTGATCGAGAGGGGACAGATCCAGTCAGATGGACCCAGGATCCAGCTCCCCCACAGACCTGCCTCCGTGTCCCTGATCAAGTCCCCCTGATTTCCTGTGACCTGAGGTCTCAGGAGCAGGTGGCCCAGGTGTGACACTGGGCAATGGCGGCTTGTTGTGGGAGGAGGCTGCCTGGGGTCTGAAGGTGACGCTGGCATTTGGGGAGGTGGCCTTGGTGGCTGCACTGGGTCCCTTCTTGTCAGAAAGTGTGTCTCCTTCCCACTGTGGGCGTAGGCTTTTCTCTTTCCTCGGTTCTGTCCCCCACGCCCCTGAACTGATTCTAGCAAGTATTCAGGGTTGAGAGTGCTGAGCAGTGCCTACCCTGGGCTCACATCCTGACAGTCACACATGTCCCCAGGAAGGGCCAGGGTCCCTCAGGGACAGAACCACCCCAAGTGAGACCTCCAGGGTCAGGCCCACCCAGGGAGGCCAAGAGACTCAGCATTTCCTGCCATCACCCTGGTCATCTGAAGCCAGAGGCCAAACCCACAAGGAGACCCACACACTGAGGGGAGGGAGAGGAGACAGATCTGAGAGCAGGGGTACTCCAGCCAGTGTCCCTATCAGGCACCCCATGATCTTTCCTTCAGCTGGGCTTTTGGGTACCTGACTCCACTTCCGTTTTGTTTCTTAGAGTTTCAGAGACTGGGTCTCCAGGAGCCTTGAACTCACTGAGTGCTGAGGCTGACCTTGGACTCCTGACCCTCCAGCCTCCATTCCTCCAGGGCTGCAATGCCAGGTGTGTGACACCCATCTCCACACCTGGCTTTTGGGGTGTTGGGGATGGAACTGCCCGTCGACCGATTGCAGTTTAGTCTTGGGCATCAGTGGGGTTTCTGGTTGGAAGTGCAACTGTCTCTCCACTGTGATCCTTCAGATCCCATTCTTTCTCCAGCCTACGGAGGGCTCAGTGGGTCAGGGCACTTGCCACCAAGCCTGGCAGCCCAGGTTCAATCCTTAGGGCCCACTGATGGCTGTAAGGTGTCCTCCGGCACGTATGCTGTAGCACACCCCCCCCCACACACACACACAATAACTAGAACAAACAAGCCGGGCGGTGGTGGCACACACCTGTAATCCCAGCACTCAGAAGGCAGAGGCAGACAGATGAGTTTGAGGCCAGCCTGGTCTACAAAGTGAGTTCTAGGACAGCCAGGGCTACACGGAGAAACCCTGTCTCAAAAAACCAAATATGTATGTGTGTATGTGTAAATATATATATGTGTATGTATGTGTGTAAATATGTATATGTTTATGTATATGTGTATATATGTGTGTGTGTATGTGTGTGTATGTATGAAGTGTGTGTATGTGTATGCATGTGTGTGTATGTGTGTGTAACTATGTATATGTGTGTATGTATGTGTGTGTAAATATATGTGTGTGTATGTATGTGTGTGTATGTATGTATGTATGTATGTATGTGTATGTATGTGTGTGTATGTATGTATGTATGGTGTATGTATGTATGTGTGTGTATGTGTGTATGTATGTATGTGTGTGTGTAAATATGTGTGTATGCATGTGTATGTAGGTATGTATGTGTATGTATGTATGTATGTATGTATGGTGTATGTATGTATGTGTATGTGTGTATGTATGTATGTGTGTGTGTGTAAATATGTATGTGTGTATGTGTGTAGATATGTTTCGGGCATGAGGAGGAGTCTTGGGAAGAAGCTGTGCTGACAGAAGCTGAGTGACATTAAAATTTCA